ATGGAGTTCTGAACGCAGGATGTGGATGAGGTATGTCCTATTGGCGTTCTCTACGTGAATTTTAGTGAGGCCCTGGGTAAACTTTTACGTCAGTGGTTGCTGATGGAAATGACTTCCGTTATTGGTGGTAGATTCAGCGAATGACTAACGGACTTCCTCAAAGGGCGTACAATGCTAGTGGAAGTCAAGGTTCATTTGTTCGCAAATGTACAGGTCACCAGTGGAACAGCTCACGTTGGGTGCACTATTTAATTGTTTGAGACACTGGCTGCTCCCCGTTAACTATGATAAGGGTAGTTTTCTTCTGATCGGTCAATCCCCGACCAATAGACTCTTTTCACTAGGGAGGCTACATTTTTCGTGAGCTGGCTAGAGAATGCGACCCAAATCCGATAATCGTTCCATTCTTGCTCACACGCTGAACTCCCTCTGCATTAATGTACGCTGTCTGTCAGAAACAAGTATTCAGGATACAAGTACTGTAGTTGAACTGACTTCCCCCTTGCTCTCTTCCCGCTACTGGTCGCGTGCCCTTCGTGGCGTGGAGACACTGCAGCTGGTCCACGGCGGCGAGGGTCGATCACTACCTGCTGATCATTCTGGAATATCAGCATGAATTTTGACCATGCACTTATTCGCTGCTACCTTTAATTGCGCTTTTTAAGTAAAACGTAAAACATGCACACCTAGCCTAATTGTGGAGAAAATCATGGATCCAGAAACAAGATAAGCGTATCAGAACTGCCTCCTTCAACGCCTGTCTACTAGCCCACTGTTGGATGTTAACGAACACTGAAGACAAATATCTGAAGCTCTGTTCAATCCCGGAACTTTTACCTGCAACTCAATCACCATCGTCATCACCAAAGCATTCGGTATTTGAAAAGACCTGTTAGAGGTCCGATAACGGGTTTCTCCTGGCCGAAATTACTACGCAACTCGACGCATCATCCGACGCCAGGTGATACCAGGAAGCTTGGTGGACCCCAAAGACCCAAGAAGTGGAAGCAGCGGAGGATTCTGAAAACGCCCGCATATTGTTCCACTTGACTCATCGACTGGCCCTTGGAAGCCTCCTGTCAGTGGGATCATCATGAATCAAAATAGTTGTCTTATATTCGTTGAGTACAATTCCCTGGTTGGTTATCTCCAATCGGGATCATAAGTCTTTACCAGAAACGTGGGCTGTCAATAGGAGCCCCCTTCATCCTCAGAGGTATCCAAGTGTACATCCCTTCTCGGGCCTCATGCACCATCAATGATGGTAACACACCATCAATACATACTGGTGCTTGACTCCCACGCAACCATGAAAGAAGTAAGCCTCAGTGAATAGAGGTGACTGAGAGTGGACAGTGTATGACCTTGCAACGAAGTACGAAAAATACTAACCAGTAAGTTTAGTCGGATGGACAACAACCGTTCGTATGCAGCATACTTATATGGACACGACACAAGACATTAACCTTTGGTGAAACATGAGTGGATCCTTGACGCCATCGCTACCACAGAATCGTACAGAAATAGTTTTATGAACTTGACTTGTAAGATTGATGAAGAAGTGAAACTTCTGGAGCTGCCGATATCGACAACAACGCCGTTAAACAAAATATCTGCTGCGATTCTGGGTAGGCAATTGAGAGCAGTGGCACAGAATAATGAAGGGAGTGAGGATTCTTGAGCTGAACCGACGTGATAGTTTGAGGCTCTGGACCCACGGACGCGTTGAAAATATCCAACTTTTCCACCACTCTTGCTCACTGATTCTTTAGCGGGACACCTATAACGAGGGTGCTTAGGATTTCCACAAAAGTAACATGTTTGTTGTGTAGAGGCAGAAATTGTTTCGGAATTAACAATGGACAAAGGAGTAGACACAGAACAAGTAACGGGTTGTCTGTATACATATGATTGTGATTGTTCTGTGCAAATTCAAGGGCTCGCGCGGCTTCGTGGGCTTTGTCAAGGTTTGATTCACACCACGTTAGCAGTTCCTCCCGAATGGTATTCGACTGCAGTCCGGTTATCAAGGCATCCAGAACTGCTTTGTTTGTATGTTCCACAGCAGATACTGCTTTGAATTCACAGTCTTTAGCAACTGAATTCAGTTTTGTGAACGAACTGGTCGACATTTTGAACAGGTTCCTGTTTGTATGTAAATAAAATATGGCGTGCATACGCGATATTTTTCGGGCGAATACAAAGCTTTTCCAGCAAGGATATCGTAGAATCGTAGTGGCTACATTCTTCAATGCAGTCTACACTGTATGGTCAATGTGACGTATGAGTTTCTATTTCATTTAGACCTTTAGGTTTGATTGAGTTAATTTAAGCTTTGTATGGGACCAATGAGTTCATCGTGTCATGCCATCTGATGAGTGACAAGCGGCATCGAAAACCGTGGGTCGGAGAATATGATCCATTTCTTTATTAGACGATTAGATTGCTGCAAAAGTCGAGTAGTTCGTGGTTGAGGTTAGGAGGAAGACAATAGAAGGGCGTAACGTACGCTTTGGTCGTCTAATAACGGTAGCACATGAGCTGAAAATGTACAGTGGGAAATACAAGTTAATGGTGTATGCAAAGGATTGGTAACTGCTAGCTGAACGCCCATCCTCATGATGATGAAGTACATCTGACAATGGAGGTGTGATATTCAGTACGCTAAAGATTTCATGTTGTTGGTTCGCCGTACTGTGACATTTCCCCGCACACCCGTTCATTTTTTTTTACAAAAGATCGTTGTCAGCCACTACCCATAAAGTTATTGAAAGCTCTTTGACAGCCCACGACCAGTTTCGTCCTTCTTGGGACTCATCGGATAAATGCAGCCCCCGAGTACTTCGCTAACGATTGCTTGTTCTTCGTGTGCCCCGTATATCTGTAGCTCCACGCATTTCACAACTACCATTAGCAGTAGTCTTTGCCATCATGGTGAACTATAACGTGAGAGGAAGTGGCCTGGTTACTGGCTTATCAATTCGGGTTGTGGAAGATAGGTGGTTGATGCGTGTATTATGAGGGGTTTGTTGCCATCTTGCTATGCTGACCAGGAAACCTCTTAATTTTCACTACAAGAATTTCTCCGTCATCACTACCTCCTATGACCTGCGTTTTTTGTCTATAAAACATTCGATTGGTTGTGTGTTTTAACCGGACTAATATAATATTACTACTTTTACAGCTTGTTTATCGATAACTGTAGTCGCTATGCAGCAGCCGCAACAGCAGGCCCCAATCCTGCGACTAATCATGGTCGGGTCTGGAGGTGTCGGTAAGAGTGCCCTCACTCTACAGTTCATGTACGATGAGGTAACGTGCCTACCAAGCTTTTTGATGTTAACTATCCACCTTGTAGTTTGTTGAAGATTACGAACCAACAAAAGCTGATTCCTATCGCAAAAAAATCATACTTGATGGCGAGGAAGTCCAAATCGATATTTTGGACACTGCTGGTAAGCGTGCTGCACTCCTTATTAGGTGCCACCTCTTCGTTTTTGTAATCTGCTTGGAAATGTGATATTTTCATATCTAGAAAGCCAGCTATTCCAACTTGCACACCATTTGTTCATTCGACTGAAACAGTTGTTTTTGTCCGTATGCAATTGGATTGCTATGATTTCCGCGTCAAAGACTGGTTGTCTGTCCCTCTGGTGGCATGGGCACCGAAGGGGTGCTACAGCTGGACTACAACCATACATCCTTTCTCGCTGTTTCTTGTTCATTACTTCTGTTTTGTCGGTTTTCAGTGAAGGGTGTTTATAGATAAATTAGTCTCTTTCCCCCGTGTCTCGGAAAACACTCCTTTCACCTTGAGTCTCCTATGTTGATGCCTAAATATTCTGAATACTTCAATTCCTCCGGCGCAGAACAGTGTCTTGCACAAATATTCATCAGACTGATTCACACGTTATGGAGAAGTTTAAGTTAACCCGTTGTGAACTGCGAAATTCGCTCAAAAACTCAAAAAGATTGTCGTGCACTTATAAATGACAAAATGGATCATACTTGCAGTTTTTCGAAGAACTTACCCCTTTCGTCAGCGGTAGTTATCCGTGGTTTCGTGGGGAACCGTGGATTTGAGCACCACATCCATTATGCAGACTTATCGACAGCTCGTCACTTCGTAGCGGAACAGTGGTGTGCACTTTCAATTTGCCCAGTTTCTTGTGGACGATATACTGCCAGTAGAGCACAAGGGGGCGCTGGTAATATCATGGTGTTTTTTCATGGTGCGTTTTTCTATCGAATTAGTTATCGCGCCAAATCACAATGGCATTATGTCTTTTGGGCCGTTGAAATTTCTATAATTTTGAAACGGCGGAAATCTGGCTTTTCATACATGTTACCATACTCAAGATTGGTCAACCCACAGTTCCCCAAAATTCGTGTACTAGGCTGTTGTTCTCTACTGAGAGGTGCGGAAAATGGGTGATAAGTTTCTTACTGTCTATTTGGTTTCTCTGGTGTTCGTAGTCTGGTCTCTCCGATACAGTTTGTGCAAAATGTCTAAACACCTTGGAATTATTTTTTCAGGACAAGAAGAGTACATTGGTATCCGAGAAAATTACTTCCGTAGCGGGGAAGGTTTTCTACTCGTTTATGCAATAAATGATCTGGAAACTTTGAGAGCCCTTCCCGGATTTTGGTGAGTTGCCGTCACTCTGTGTGCGCTCCACATTCCTCTGCTCTTAGTTGGCCTGTTCATTTTCTCTGACAACACGCCACTGGTGCGGCAGTCACCATTTCTACCGTGAATGTTAGCTCATTTAATTCAAGTTCATCTGGCTGGATTTTGGAGTTCCTTTGTGTTTTGATTTCTAACACGAACGAAACCATGTTTACAGTTAGCTTCCTTTAGAACTCATATCTGTTCGTGTTCCTCGGAGGAACCCGCAGATTGCTTTCTTTGGCAACTGTCGGAAAAGCTTGCCGGTTGTGCCACATCTTTGTCTCGCGCGTGTCGCTCAAATCCCCATTACGAGGCTGTTGATATTAGTTAGTTAAACACAAGTTGGTTACATGCCGTCAGTGTGTCATATGGCGAGTATATTACCTCGTTGTCATCTCTTTTTGCATTTTACTAACTAAACACCAGGATCCAGTGATATTCTTCCCTGCCAAGCGAATACGTGACCCGGCCATGCTCCATATATTGGAGTTCATCTGGGCGAGGACGTATTAGTGTTCCTTTACTCTGAGCCCAACCTACACGCTTTTTCGGATCTCAAGTATATTTGCCTTTGTTTCACTACGCCTATCACGTTAAAACGCAATGAAGGACACCGGAGGTGTTCGCATTCCACCCTTCATTTTCCGGTTGAATCAGCATCGACATCCACCGCCTCATGGTGTGCCAGGAAGCTAATAGGTTGAAAAGGTTCACCACTCGGGTAGATGACTTGCTAAGACTTCTTTGGCGAAATCGTATGTAACGACCCTTCAGCCGCACAACTTGTAACGTAACTCGAGAAATACACTCATCTGCAGATCAATTTGGTTTTCACGAGAGACTCAACTGAATCTCTCGTTTATGGTATTCTACAACTGAATGCGCTGCAAACAGGCCGCTTCATGATTCAGTTGGCACGATGTTCCGGATATCGCAGTATATTTTCATAAAAGAAACTACTCACAAGGTGGGCTGTCGAAGAGTCTTCAGCAACCTTGTGAGTAGTTTCCTTTGTGAAAATTGTAACGTACCTCTTACGCTGAGTGACCTGAAGCAATTTCAGTAGGGTTTAGTTTTGATGTTGCGACCATACCTGTTTCGAGTTTTCACAGAGGCTGTTCGGGCGTTTACTGATGAGTTGTCCCTAACCCGGTTTCCTGTCTCGTTAAGTTTATTGCTTTCGGACAGCTTTGATCGTCTGGTTTCAAGAAATAATCGTAGCCATTTTATTCTCTCATGCTGGTCGTATTCGTTTCCCACATTGGCCGTAATCATTGAGTGTTTTGTGTAAATCCACTTGTCCCGAAGGTTTACTATGCTTTGTTTGGTGAGTTGATTTTCCTCACAGAAAGTCGAGAACCACAACACACGCTGTCATCACGTACACGTATGTACACCGCTGGAATTTCTGCCGCACAACACTTCGTTTCATCTGCGTCTCTCTGTCTTGCAGTGGAGCTTTGTGACGAAATTTTACTCCTTCTGAATATAACCAGGATCTTTGTCCCATCACTCACTGCTGATTATTCGTCACGGCGTGTAGTGTGTGCCGGCTAGGCGATGACATTGATTTTCGTATTCCGCTTTGTTCATGGTGTTACTGGTCCCACCCAGAGGAAGTGAAATAGTCCTTGTGTAGTCCCCGATATGCTAGCTGCTGCCTCGGAAATAGGTCTGTGTATTGTGAATGTTGGTCTCCCAGTCAGTCGCCATGGCAGCTAACATGCCGCTGAGTTTATTCGCCCTTTGCCGGAACAGGTGCGTACACACTGTACTCCCAACAGAACGGACTGGGTGTTTGTGCCAGACTGTGGATCACTCGCTGTGTTTTCCAGGGCCGTACCGTGCCTTTACACCTGATTGGTCGCTTTTATTGGTGCAGTTATCTCATCCGATTGCACTGCGCAGCCAATTGCACCTGCAAGCTGTTGAAATATTCTATTCAACATAGTAGCAGTTACTCGGTTGCATTAGCTGACACGGTATGGATGATGAGACCGAACCAGTGTGCAGGGGCTGCTGGGATATTAGAGGCACTCGTTTGCCTACTATGCTATCAAGATTAGGACTCCACTTCCCTAAAGCTACCAATTCGTCTCTGTTCTTCCAGTACTGAATAAATATGGAAGCGGTAAAGATGGCTTACCAACGGTGTTCGAACAGTTCTCATAGTGCTATCAAGTCACTTCCGTCTCGATGATGGACGCAACGCGCCACGCCGCTACAACTCTGTAAACGCACACGTGGAAGAATATTATGCAATTTGGGTTCAGGTGGAAAATAAAGTTGATGGCAACTCGGGGACTGCAACTACCTGATGAGCCCCAAGAGGGCGAAACACACGGTATGGATGATGAGACCGAACCAGTGTGCAGGGGCTGCTGGGATATTAGAGGCACTCGTTTGCCTACTATGCTATCAAGATTAGGACTCCACTTCCCTAAAGCTACCAATTCGTCTCTGTTCTTCCAGTACTGAATAAATATGGAAGCGGTAAAGATGGCTTACCAACGGTGTTCGAACAGTTCTCATAGTGCTATCAAGTCACTTCCGTCTCGATGATGGACGCAACGCGCCACGCCGCTACAACTCTGTAAACGCACACGTGGAAGAATATTATGCAATTTGGGTTCAGGTGGAAAATAAAGTTGATGGCAACTCGGGGACTGCAACTACCTGATGAGCCCCAAGAAGGGCGAAACCGGTCGTGGGTTGTTGAAGAATTTTCAGCAACCTTATGAGTAATGTATTATGCCTATACATGATGGCAGTTATTCATGCAGGTCCTGCACACAGTAGGCTACTGACTGTTCGGTTCATCATCATACATAACTACGAAACAAAGACCGACTTTGTTTCTGTTTGGCCACTCGGGCATGATGAGTGAACAATGACAGCTTTGATACTTCAAGTCGTATATCATTAGCATTGTGCTATAGGCGACGATTCTTCCATGATGGAGCAATCCGACTCGGCGAAAGCCGATGCACAGGAAGCTGGTTCCTACCTAAATCAGAGAAAAAGTCGCGCAGCAACGGCACTAGATTCAACAAGGCTTTACGTAACAAGTGTGCGCTTTGACCTTGAACAGCACCCCTGTCTATTATTCTCTAGGACGAGGAATCATTTGAAATGCGGATAGAGATAGTAGACTTTTTACAAAAACAAACTAATTGACTCGAGTGTGCACTCAAATGTTGCATACAAATAGTGATCCAGTCGGTCTGTAGAATAGAGACCACTTTCACCCGCTCCTTTCGGGAAACCACTTTCTTGAAACGACAGTAAGTCGATGACTTTGCTGGGCAATATTGAGGTTCCAGTGAGGGGGAACTTGAAAGCCGAAAACCTGGGAAAAGCAACGTTCGGTGCAACTTATTTGATTCGTACCTTCAAGGTCTTCGACTCTTATGTGGTAGAACTAGCCACCGTTTCGGTATGTCCGATTTCATTTCGTCCTGCTGTTGGACGATCTATACATACCAATTTTATGCTTGACGGTGTGTTTCATTACATTCCGCTCTAGACGTATCGGCAGACTGTTTTACCACGATATGACTTTGGATGATTTGGGCGACGACTGATAGTGCCTGGGTTGAAAGGATTGATTGAATATGATCAATCCGCTTCCACATGTCTGTCTGGCTCAAGAAAATTGCGACACGTCTTCAGCGAAATAGGCCAGATAGAGTGTGCAGCCAAATATTGGTTCAGTTACCCGTGTGAACGTGCAACCTACCTTTTTCAGCATGCCAGTGGTTGAATGGTCTATACATATTTGACATTAGCATGCACTGCTGTTGATCGCATTTCTGTCAGTCCGGCTTAGCAGGTTTGAGTTTCGTTCTCCGAGTCATCATAGAGAGACAATATTGAGATCAATAGCATTCCGGAAGTGCGAATAGTGCATGAATTCACTTTTGCACTATCAGAAGTATGTTTTCCTCCCGTCAGGTGGGACTATCCTACTTTCCAGGTAAACTGCAAGTCCTTGCTTCGATAAGACCTTTGCTCAAACTTCCGATACGTCATTTTTCATCCACTTGGAAACCCTGAAATTATTCCGCGACTGAAGGATCAGTGCGAGTTTGTCACACTGGTGCTCGTGACCGAGCGGTTAACTGTTCGAACGACTAGCCAGAAGGTTGAAGGTTTGAAACCACCTGGATTTTCATAGAGTGCGCGCACTGCTAGTGATTCACAATAAGGATAAAGCCGCGTAGGTTGACTTCAATTACAGGACGAAATATCCATTAAAAATTCCCAGGTCTCCTTACACTACCAAAAATCCAAACGTTAGTTGTGTAAATTCGGCCCTACACGGTAAGTACCAAGCCGGCTCTCGAATCATCTGATGTGCAAAGGTGGCGTTCCTGTTCAAATTTTCGTAGGTGACCAGAATGGGACTGCCACAGTCCTTTGTTTTTTTTCTCTCACACAAAAATAACTATGCTAATCAATTGAGCTACCGCAGCCACCACCTTAATTGATACGTCGAGAGAAGATGGGATAAGGTTTCAATTCTCTCACATTTTCCTTCATCAATATTACTAGAAATGTCAGCCACACAATTGCTTTGCAATGCCTGGAATGCATAGGAAAGCGCATACTGAGAGGGGATCTTGTTTCAAAAAGTTTCCTGATAACAGTAAAAATGTTGACCAAATTATTTGGTCTATTCAAACTGCCGTGTGTTATCGTGTGCTCACTACTACAAGTCCTTGAGGCGTTTCCGTATAAGACGTCAAGGATACTGGATGCCGATTGATTTTCTTTTCATCTTTTAGTCCTGAAGATCAACAGAAATAAGCTCAATATAGCTCAGTGATTAAGGCCCGACCTTACTGACCGGAAGGTCCGTAGTTTCGTACTCAACTTCTGCGTCTGGATTACTCTGATTTGTGCCTGGGCAATGTGACGGTATCTCAAACCTCGTACTTCATTCCGGTGGCAGAGCAGTTAGCTACCGAAAGGGTGCTACAGCTGAGCATTTTTGCAAGTCCGTAGTTTCGTACTCAACTTCTGCGTCTGGATTACTCTGATTTGTGCCTGGGCAATGTGACGGTATCTCAAACCTCGTACTTCATTCCGGTGGCAGAGCAGTTAGCTACCGAAAGGGTGCTACAGCTGAGCGATTTTTGCAAAGTATAAATGGAAATAGTAAGATAGGATAATTCTGCAAATGACCACATCGAGTGAAAAACTCAGCAGGTCATGCAATCCATACGGTCTGGTTCTTTACAGAAGACCGGATTATTGTGTGCTTATTTGGATTGATCGATGGCCTTAGCTAACCGATTTGTAAGTAAGGGGAATATATACCATCTTTATATTCCCATAAACCTGTGCGAAGGCTGCCTTGGGAATGCTTTGCACCACCTGTAATTAACGTACGACCGACTGCCGTTTCATCTCCCATCCTCTCAACGGCTTGCTTACGCGGACTGAACAGGTCTTATCGGCTTCATGTAGATGCCTATTCACTTGAGCGATCACCCTGTGCGTGTCAAGTCCGTGTGATCGCGCCATGTGGGTTCATCAGCTCGGCTGTTTGTCATTCACTCATAGTACAACAGTAAAGTTTTCGTCCGAATTAAGTCTAATGAGTAACAACTATCATAATCACTTTTGTCTTTTGGGACTCTTCCACAAAGGCACCACTAGTACTCACCTCCCCTGTCTGAATTCGACCATTTTTGACGAGACCTTTGGATGGCGTGATTCCCTGTGTTTACGCGTGTTTCTTTCAGAGCCGGAGGAACCTGAAAGAACGAACACTCAGATAGTCCCGGTGAGGCCACGACGCCATCCGTTATTTACCATACAATATAACTTACACTCGTATTTGTCTTCAGGGTTTGGAAATCAAACATGTCAAGGAAAAACTGTCCCGTGTTCTTTATCGTATTACTCTCACTCTACACTCACGATCCAACTTACCGGTTGCGGTGACCATCGCTAGTGACTAGGCGACCGTCCCTAACGGCATTCTATCTGTGTCTGGTGAATGACATATATGTGTTCCATCTGTTTATGTTATCTATATTCCTAATTGGCTACATTGTTCGAGTGGATGTAGCTTCTTTGTTGAAAGCTTCGAAAGACAGGAATCCAGATTTGGTTCGATTTGCACCAAGGACCTGAGCTGACCTGGTATCTCCGTTAATCTGTCGTCCTTTTTGGGTCAGATTCAGTTCACACCACTCAAGAATTGGTATTTATCTAACAAGTTCTTTTGACCTGTCAAAACTTTCTTACTTTTTATCGAGGTGTGCGTTTCAAGAAGGTTCCTTTGAGTACATGATACCCGTACGAACAAGCCCACTTTTTAAGAGGTTCCTCACAGTTAATTAGGTGTGGTTATCGTATGCCTGCTATACGACCGTCGATTAAAGTGCAACGACTGAATGCCTTCGTCCGCCATCTTCATCAGGATGAGCTAGTCCCTCAACACTCCGGTTCCTGGTTTCCTTGGGATCATGCCATCTACATTGTATGTCTAAATCCGCTTTCAAAATGCAGCACCTTTAACCATTTGAAGAACCACACTGAAGAAGGAAAATCTAACAGTCTAACCGTAACACTTCCATTTCGGAAGTTTTTGAAGGGAAACCGCTATGATGAGTGCCCGAATGCGTTTATTCCGGGAGTTCTATCTTGTGCTAACTATCCAGCTGCCCAGTGCACCCACTTCACCCGCCTGACAACTGCAATACCAAGCCAGTAGTATGCAAACCCATGCGGTTTACAAGAACAAAGAAACTAAATTCGACGTACCCGGTACATCTGAATCGGCACCAAACTTAGCTTGATTCTTGTTAGCGGTGTTTTGGCGGTAATAAAAACTTGTGAAAATTCACAGAAGTGAATAATTTGCTGTTCGATGTTGAGTCCATTTTGAGTTCTAATCTATTCGTGATTTTCCGTGTTCAGTGACCCGTGATCCGACTGAAGCCCCTTGGTCTTTGATTGGAGTGAATGACACTGTGCGCTACGGTTTATTCAAATGAAGTGTACCTCACGCCAATATGTAAATTATCCAACGACCTTTAGTGCACCTGTTTTTTCGACACACTGCCTGCTTGGACGACTGACGGATTCTTCTCAGATTTAGGCACTTCTAAGCAGAGTGTGTTGCGCTGTCCAACACGTTGAAACATCACGACAACAAATTAGGGGGCAAACGAAAAGCCGTGATTCCAGAAAATGAAGCTGTAGATTTTATGTAATCCGGCATGCATCATTGAATGTCTTGAATCATTGTTGTGAATGGGGAGGCATTGGCTCTCGCTGTCGCCAATAACAGTATTATTGGTACTAGCAACAATCAGAAGTGGTGGAAGCAGCTTTAGACCATGTACGGGTCGTACGATGGCTCCAGGTGCTCGTCTGTGATTGTCAGAAAAATATCCATAAACTTTTTGTGGGTCACAGTGGCACGGGACCGACCAAACGCGGTCTCGATGAAAGGTAGAAGAGTACGGATGCCGTTGACTGCTTGTGGTTCAACCTTCCAGGCAGGTTACATACGTGTTAACGTAGGTTCATATAGCTTACCCTTTCTCATCCGGCTGACCTCCCCTTGATCCAACTTGCGGCCGCATTCGCATCGGCGAGATGGTCCAAGTGGTTAGAGCGCGAATTTACTGACCGGAAGGTCCGTGGTTCGAACCCGACCTCTGCCTCTCGACTTCCCCTGTCTAGGCTTGGGCAACCTGACAGTATCCCAGCCGTCGTGCTTCCTTCGGGTGGCATGACAGCTAGGCACCGAAAGGGTGCCACATCTGGACGATTCGCATCGGCGTAATGTTCAAAGGTCATGTGCACTTCCGAATTGTTTGCTGCAACAGTTTGCCTATGGAGTTATTTTGGCGTGGACTGAGTTGAGTTGTTCAAACGAGATTGATGTGAAAATGGATGCGAACAGATAATTATACCCGACAAGGAGTAGACCACCGGTAGACGAGCCCTTGTGTTATGACTAATTTTCTGTGAATATCAACAAGTTAGTAGTCACTGCCTGTCCATGTTCACTGAAAGTGAACTTGGGATCCACAAGCAAGCATAACAAACGTGTACTTGCTGGTGATTTTCATTCCATATGTGAATAACTGCTGACTTACGGCTTTTTTGTCCTTCTGTAGTGATCAAGTGTATCGCGCAAAGAACACCGACAATCTTCCCATGGTTCTTGTTGCCAATAAGATCGATTTAAAGGATAGTTCCCCAGTCTGCTACACCGAAGCTGGACAGGAATATGCCCGACAGCTGAAGATTTCGTATGTCGAGACGTCGGCAAAAACACAACAGAATGTCGATTTCGTGAGTTTGATTTTCTCTGCCCTGATTATTGATGGTTTGGCTTTGTAATGTTTGACTCAACCCATGCAGACCCCCTAGCGGTGAGAAATCTTTTGGATTTAAGTCGGACAAATTAAACCGCTTACAGATACCGAAAATGTTTAGAGCAGTCTCTCTCTTCGTATCCTTAGGTAGGACGTCATCAACAGTGATCACTGTAAAAACGTAGGCAACGACTGAACTGCCTGGACGGTGTCCTGCTTAGGAGGTGCGAGCGAACAGGCCAAATTACTCTGAGTGACCTCCTTACGCACAGGAACAATCGAAATAACCTTTTGTTCGCTGTTTGAAACAATGGTGCATGTCTTCGACATTCGAGCTTAGGCGTTTTATAGCAGAAGGCGGGTTTATCGAATACCGCTGCTTTGGAGGCTCAGCGCTTAGCATCACGTTGAGGGATGTTATTGCTGTACCGAACAGGACTGACCTCATCGGTTCTCCGGTTACATTAATTTCACATGCATATTATGTTGACTATCACGGCCACTAGCGATCTGAAGCCCCAAGTAGGGTGAAGCAAGTAGTGGAATGTCCAGGGGTTTTGGCAGTCCCCTCACACCACCCAGATTCAACGATTTCTTGTCAACGTTTTGTTCATCGATGGTTATTCTTGTTCTTTAACATGTTCCTGATGATTGCGGCCGGCCGGAGGTCATAAGCGCTGAGTTGTTTGGTCCTCTATCAAGCGGTAAATCAACCTGATGGGGTTACAGATAGTGTCTTCGAAATCTCGTGGCAGATCAAGCAATGACTTTCAGAAAGTGGCTGAAGTATCTCAGTGGGAGCCATCTCTTAATCAGGGGCATTGCTGTATATTCTTTGTTATTTCTAGTCTACTATGACTTGGTTTACTTGGTTAGTTGCCCCATCCTTACTCGGTCTTGTTAAGCAACTGAGCAAAGCACGCTGTCAACACGATAAACAGACCATATAAATGAGGGGATGCCTAACCATACCAAACAATACATGTCTGTTAGGGCAAAAATTATCCATGGGATGAGACGATCGTGATTTTTCTACCCCCTCCCGCTGTGCCGTATTGTTCACACGACTCTTGCTTCGTTCTGAAAACGTTAATGAACTTGTTGGCTATTTTACGTAGTGATGGAACCGCTGGTGGGACTCAAGAGTACTGATTCAAGGATGGCATTGGATTCTGTCGCAATCGAGTATGGGTAAAGTGGCGGAGAGCTCGATTTAAAAGAACATCCTGTGGATGTATTGAAAGTTGCCTGACGATTGGGGAAGGCTGAATACAACAGTGGCGAGAACGCTTGCTCCATCGTGCACGTATGTCTATCAAAATGTGGACCCTCAAGCCATTCAGAATGCTTCTTAGGCAAGGTCAGTGGTCTGACAAACAGGAATTCTGCCGCGTCCTGAAAGGCAGGTGGTCGTTCTGGTCACCGTTTCTGACACGTCACAGGTGACTTACATAACAGATTCAGCCTTTTTCGTAAAGGAAACTACTCACAAGGTTGCTAAAAACTCTTCGAAGCCCACGACTCAGCCTTTTTCGTAAAGGAAACTACTCACAAGGTTGCTAAAAACTCTTCGACAGCCCACGACCGGTTTCGCCCTTCTTGGGGCTCATCAGGCAAGCGCAGCCCCCGAGTTTCCGTCAACCTTATGTTCTACTGCCTTTGTCTCATCTAGCTTGTGTACTTTTAAAAACCCAGCTCGTTCAATTAAGTTGCAAATAACAGGTAGTTCGTTTGAGCTTTCTACCAATTGCATCCTGTGTACTCCGTAAACGAACAGCCACTTGAGAGAAAAATGCGGATATGGCTAATCGATTCGCGTTACGCGCCAGATTATTTCTTATGCGGTAATATTTGTGCTCAGAACCATACTGAGGATGCTACGCATGGCTCACACGTTTCTTACCAGCTTTATCGGTAGTTTGTCGGCCATTGAAACCACTTCAAGTCCTGTGTCAGTAGATCATTTGCTTTTCCAAAGCAATTCTTTTTAGGGACATGTTTCAGAAAACCTCATGGGCCATGTCGTGATTCCATAAATCAATCAATCGCCTCAGGAGAGTCTCGTCTTATTGAAGGAAAAGGCTGGCTCTTTATCAATGTGTACATAGTCCTTTCGGCCACGATTCTAAACTCTTATTTAGTTGTTCGAATGCGCTCGACCGTGATTGATCCAGCTATTGATTGGTTCTGCCGTTGTTTGGGCCAGCCGACCGTTGTTTGTTCGGAGTGCTCCGATTGTCTATGCTGCTGGCACAACAAACGGACCCTGATGATTGGATGACCTTGGCCTGCGTCTGCCATCATTTGTACACCGTGAAACACTCCAGCCTTTGATCGAATTCAGGTATTGGTATCGGCTGTATTATGTTCGTTATCGTTGAGATCCAGCTGAACAAATCGCAGTGGTTCTTTAAGCAACTGACCGTCTCCTTGGCTACCCTATGGACCTTGTGTCTGAATCTTACGGAAGCTTTCTTCACTCTCTTACCCCTTTATGCTACTATCCAAGAGGGGCGAATTAATACATGTATTGTTTTTAGCAGCTATCCTTGGCCGAATTCCTCATCGACCTTGTTCATTTCGATTAACGGCTGACATTGGCCTCAATGTCTGCAGCAGTCTACCAAATTAGAAGGCCATTCTGCAATGAAAGAAGCAAGCAGTTACGTACTTTTGGCATGCCCCTGACCGTGTTGTGATGATGTTCAAGGTCATTCACAATGTTTCGTTTCTATTGTACGCCCTGTCAACTACCATGACAACACGCCAAAGCCCAGCAATCATGTGGTGCTGTCACTGCGCTTTCCGACCCAGGTATGGACTAAAACACTCAAATTGCCAGTGGTGCAACCCAAAGAGCAAACCGATAATAGTGCGGGAAACACATAATTTGGCCAATTTTGAGGAGCGGAGATGCGGCATCGTTAGAAAAAAGGTCGTGATCCGATGAGTCGTTAACTTGTTTGAAAGATGAGCTGTTATGATCGAAAGGTTAAAATTGGTTTAAGAATATTTTCATAAAGGGAACTACTCACAAGGTTGCTAAAACCCTTTGACAGCCCACGACCGATTTTGCCCTTCTTGGGGCTCAGTCCCCTAACTTCCGTCAACCTTATGTTCTACTTACGTGGGCTCCATAGTGTCCTATCCACTCGCGAACGAAGGGAAGGCATCACATGATAGTTCTGGTGCTCTTGCTTGTGTTTCCGGATTCTTTTGTCACCGTTATACTGACACACCCTGGTACGCAATGTCCCATGCGGTTTACACTGGGCTTCTCATGATACCAGCTGAACGCCCTCTACCTGGCATAAATCCTAGGGGCGTGATTAGAGGGCGTACAATGAGAGAAGTTTTAAAGACACCAGGACGCCCAACTGGTTCTCCATAACCGTTTAATTAGATGAAGCCAGTGAAACAGTTGGAGCCCTATCTGTCTGCAGGGTAACCCGGTGACCTGAGCCAACCATTAGACAGCTAGTAGCTAGTGATAGGCAACATTCAGCCTGTACAACGCCCGTCACTGAATGTGACCACCCCAGCACCGTTGTGGGCTCTCCAGAATACCGAGAGTGCTAAGCAGGTCGTCTGCAGATTTATACTTGAAATACAGGAAAACAATAATATATAGTTGTAGTCGATTATGGGATTTATAAAAGTCGCATTCACATCACTCTTTTGAGCTGTCAGACTCTCCCCATGGTTAATTCAAGAGGGAGACATCTTTGAACTCGAGTTTCGTTCTTGCTAAGGTTCATCAGCAGTGCATATGCATGAACCCCGGACATTTCATATGCGGAGTGATCGTGTTAATCCACCTGCGCGTGCTGGACCCAAGTAAACGGGTAAGGGTATTCACGGCTGAATGGACTGATTGGCCTGTCCGACGCCTTGAACAGTTATCCATCGATCGATTGACCTCATCAGGTTTTCTCATCAGGTCACTTGACAAACTTTTGAAACATACTGGACCACTTTCGGCTGGTTCCAAGGGACTTGTGGATTTTGTACAAAATAGCGACATTAAACTCGATGCTGTAAAATAAAATACAGACCTTGAGATACTAATGGATAATATGAGCACATCGGTAACCAAAATCGCGGGCTTCACGTCATGAATCAAAGCTCATCGTTTTCGAAAATCCTGCTGTCTTAGATGATAGTGAGGGTTATCTATCTCTCATATGTTAGTTCTGGCTTGTGAAGGCATACACACCAATGGTTCAGCTGATCATATTGGTTACGAGAACATACGGGGGGCATTGGCCGCACAGTGCTCTCATCTGCAAAACCTTTGTGAGTGGAATAAAACTTTTTGCGCCAAAATGTTGCATTTTGTTGCGTATGTACTCAGACCAAAAACCACCCTATTCTACGTTCATATTTTTGAAGCTCACTAAATTTCATTGTCCAGTGATGCAAACATACCTTCGGCGGAAAAAGTCTGGTGGAATAATTTCCTGGCATCGCTGAGGCCCTGGGATGCCTTTATGGGGCTCAAAAGTTTGGACTCGTATTCTGAACTCAATTGCCTGTCTCTTTTTGTGCATTAGGGACACTTCGTTGCTTTCGAAAAGTCACTTCCATTTTGCGAATACTGAGAGCCAACATACGGCTGCCCCACAAGACCGGACAGGCTTGTCCATAGGCTTGTTGTTACAGTGCGACATAGTATCAGCGCTTTGAATACACGAACTCATTCACGTACAAGAATACGAGTCGAAACGAATAATGGGGCGGGTAGTCTCGTTAAAAAAACCCGCCACTTGAGGGGGGTGAATTTCGGTCACATGAGATACTGTTTAGTGTCAATTGCGTGGTTCAGCAAGGTGTACGTAATTCCTGTAGGAATTTAAACAAATATGCCAACTATGCCTGATGCTAGTCGTCTCTTATTCAGGAGTTTCCTTATGTATATATTCCCATCCCTGACTGGTATCCTTGGTTAACTACCAGACTGTGTCTTGTGCACTGAAAACCTGAACCACTACGATAGAATTCAATGCAAAGTAGTTCTGCATTGGGCAACCCTTAATTACTTGTCCGACCCTGATTTTCCCCACATTTTTCAGCAAACGCCATCAGTCGGTAACCACAAGGACAAAGCCAAAGTGGTCCAGACGTAAAATTTCCGTGCCCCAGCCACTGAACACGGTAGGGAAGGTCAACTCAAAGTTGAATGCAGATTAGTAGCTTTATGACCAGTAGCTCCTACGCCTGGGCAATTTGGGTCAGCATAGTGGTTAATTTATGGGACTTCTCGGGTTCCTGAACTGTCCATAAAAATTCAGGCTAGGTCAGCGCATCCATAACATTACTTATTGCGAGCTATTATGACAGATGGAGGGCATAACGCGGGTTAAGTGGGCTAACATTCACTCACCCTCCTCATTAGCATTGTGATTTTCAACGTCGCTTCGTCCCCTTGAATAGCTGTCTTGGAGTTTGGTGCCACTGATAGAATTCGAAAACGCATTTCGATTGAGAGCAAAATTGAAGATGCTGCTGATTATAGAAGGATCACGTGGACCCCATCGTGGAAGGTGTTTTGCACCAATAGTACCCAGGCCTTTCGGAATCTCTCAATCTGCCAGGCCAAAGGTCATCCACCTCTCTGCTTGCCGCGCTCTGAATGGGGCACGGAAAACAGTATTCTCCGGCAAAAGATGACCCGGTATTCGCAAGACGCTGTCTGCCAGTGAGAACTAAGGATAACTCAGTGGTTAATGCGTGAACTTACTGACCATAAGGTCCGCGGTTTGTACCCAGAAATCGATCAGTCATTTTATCAGCTATAAACCGTGTACCATAGGCACATGAGTTCCAACTGCTACAGTTTGGATCACCGGAAAACGGGAGAGTGTGCGGCATACAGCCAAGCCTTGGTAGTGATGACATGTTCAGTCGGTACGGAAATCGGGTAGCTATGAATTCAAGGTGGTAGCTTTGATGTGCGATAGCGCCATTCGTGCCAGTGTCACTAGCCATTGGTAAGTTGAGTCCCGGGGTCCACATTCAGAGAGGCGGCAGTTGCCGACCCGGCTAAGTTTACTGGCTAGTGTTTCCATACCTCGTTGCCAGGTCATACACTGTCCACTTCTCGGTCGCTTCCACTCAGCACAGAGCTCAGCGAAAAGAGTTCTGTGAGGCAGACTGTCTTTTGGCATCTCAATCACTCCTTTCTAGGCTTGGGTAATATCTCGTCGCTTGTGCTTTTTCGGATGGCATGTCGCCTGGACACCGAATGGGTGTTTCCTTTAAGCGATTATTAGTGTTATTTATTATTATCTACCGGTGCTATGTTGATATTTGTGATAAGTGTTCCACCTCATCTACTAATGTTAGCTGTATTCGTATCTAGTGTTGGTGGTGGTGCCACGGGAGCGTTTTTCGCTCAACAGGTTCGCTCATTTATGGGCGTGAATACATTTTGTTGTTCGTTTTATTAACCCAGTTGCAACCTATGCATACATCAGCCTAGACTTGGTCAACAGGTTTCGTTCGCATGAACAAGGGCTTGGTAAATAATCGATAGTTTTTTATTTGGGATGATTATTTACTGACTGCTTACCATGCTCTTCTGGAATGATGACTTCTCAATCGGTTCCAAACTTTTTCCGATTGCTTGAAAGGTCAACAAGATTACGGCGAAAACAACAGCTCAGTTTTTCTCCGTGTCGGTACTTGGGCTAATTCGATTGGTCAACCGGGGGGAGAGGTGCTTGAAAGTGGATCAAATAGAGTTCACTGCAGCCGATCGGTTTTCGTTTCGGCCCAGTCCGATAAAGAAGAGTTTGACAGTTGTCCAGAAGGCAGATATTCTGGAAAAGCTTCTTTGAACGTATATAGAAAAAACATTCAGAATACCATAGCTTATAAGAATAGCCAACTATTTCTGTCGGTGGGGTGGGGCAAGATAACGAAATCTTCGAGGATTACATACAAGCAGAGCAATAAGATTTTGAAACATTTTGAACCCAAGTATACTTTGGTATCTCATAGGCTGACAGAATGCACCACTGAACTTAATTCCATTTTCAGGATGTATATTGACCGGAAAAAGCGGACAAATTAGTTGAAGATTTGTGATTTTTTACTTACTATATGAGTGTGCATTGCGGATCTTCTCAGTAACTGGCTGACTTATCCATTGCGTTCACCCTATTTACAGTTAGCTATGCACTATAGGTGTGTTCGTTGATAAAGTTTATTCGTCCACATCTCGTCACTCACTCCAACTCTCACCACTGGACCCACACTTTAACAATGGCTAGTGTGAATCCTAAAGTTGTAAGTCCGATGGTGTTCTATGGTTCTAGATAAGCATGGTGTGAAGCTCGTCTAGAATTTTCGAAAATAAGTGCACTAAATTGTGTTCATTCTGGTCTACAACTTACTTTGCGCCAAATGAGTTGATATAGCAGGCGCATGCCGAAACGCGTATCAGCCTCCTATTCCCCAGCACTTCCATATGATGCTAATGTTCCCGTCCGTCAACATTATTCGGTGGGGATTTTCCTGCGGAAAAGGTGGGTACACACGAGAAACTGCGACTTTTCAGAGTAAGAATTCTACAAAAAGCCCGATCCGGGTCTAGCCAAGTAGAACTTGACCAAGTATACAAATATGCTGCTTTCAAAGGTGCGATATTATGACGGACTGGAGTGCATTATCCCCCGATATTTCAGTGGTCAGGGCGTGAACTTGTTGAACAGAGGGTCCGTGGTTCGAACCAGACCCAGACTTATTGACTGCTCCTGTCTAGGTTTCAAAAACCTGGCAGTATTTGGGCCTTCGTACTTCCCTTGGATGGCATGGCAACGAGGCACCGAAGGCATGTTGCAGCTGAATAATTTATTTTTCTAGATTCTTCTAATAATGCCCGGATTACTAGCTCTTTCGAGAGTGATTGGCACAAATGACGAAAGATTCTTTCTATTGATAGTTGGAGAACGTTCGTTTGCCTGGCATCTAGCTACATATCCGTTGTACACCTTCACTAAGGGGTTTTCCGACCACCCAAGTGCAAGGGCAAAAAATTTCAGCGGTTGCCCGTCATCCGTTAGGCTAAAACTGAGGTGGACCAAACTCACGAAATACGTACACTTTGAGCAGTCTGGTTTGTCCACAGTCTTGAAACCACCTGCGTGTCGACGTTATCGTTAACTCTTTTTCGTTAACCAGGATCCAAACTACGGCACGGTTAAGTATATGCACTGCTAATGAGTTTTAATAATAGGAAAACTTCAGTCCAGCGCTCACTTTCTCTCGTTGGTGTGCGTCACAAAAGGAGGAGGGTTGTTCAGACGACAGTGATGCGAACGTGAACACATCGGAGCGTTTTATTCTCGTTGTAGCGTGTGAATTCCCTTGTTAGGACAACAGAACATAGGAGTTGCACCATATATCACATAGATGACTATCTACACGCCACTGTCGGCCAATGAATTAAGAATGGTTGTTATCCTCTCATTATTACTTATACGAAAAATGAACCCCTGTTAAGGATGCGTACGGTCTAATTCGACCGCATTGGTCGTGTTGGATGGTCTTTTCTTGCCTATCCAACCGTTAGATGAAGCACCTTCCGTCCTCATAGGAGATACGGCGGCTTCGATATGCGCTTCCAGCTCAATTGAGGGACCACCACAACAATCTCAAAGGCTGTACGGAAAATGCACCAGCATCCATGAAACATACACCCCCTTTTTCCAGAGACATCTTGGAATCTACATTATTTGTTTGGTTGACCACGGTCTTTTGGTGGAATGGGGTCGGTTACTCAGGCTAAAACTGACATCACGTTTTACTCCTCCCAAAGTCCTAATTGTTCCATCGTGTCTGCTTGAGGTGGGAAAAGTTCTAGTTAACCAAATTGCACGAAGTTTTCCCCTTTCGTGCTGACTTGCGAAAGTAAGTGATTCCCATTAACAACATCCTTGTCCATATACTGGAACATTTTTCGGTTTTATTCCATTTTTTTTTACATACAATAGGTCTTTGCGAGGGTCGCTAGAGAAATTCGACAACGCCAATTGGCCCAAGTCCAACGACCAAAAGCAGTGACAGCCAGAAAGCCACGAAGACGTTGTACAATCCTTTGATCGTATCCACCTATTCACCGCTTCGCCCATTGTCCCTTCGGTTCGAATGGTGCCGCTTAACGGTCGCTGTGTGCGGTCTTTTTCCTTTGTCGCATTCGTCTTGGGACACTTGTGCTACACTTCCATTCCTTACCTTTCCATTCATATTCAGCTGTCTATCACCGCCCATTCTAATCATCTTCGACTATTTCACCTTATTCCATCTTCGTTCTGCACTCGCTCGCTGGATGGTGACCTGGCGGCACATTTCTCACAGAAACACTCCTACATGTCTAAGACTTTCCGAAGTGGTCAACTTTCAAGGTGATTTTTTTCCCACTGGTCCATCTTAGATTCACTTCACCAACGTCTATCGCCTCTAGATGTGCTTTTTGTTAATACAGTATAGGAAAACTATTCCAGACGAACAAAACCGAACTGCAAACTGTTGTGCTTCCGCACACTACTGAGACGTATTCTTACTGAAATTGGTTGTGTTGGTCCTGTTACTGCGCCCATTTCTTCTTAGGGGCACCTTCATTCCCAGTCACTTCAGGTGCGGGTTTTATTCATATGGACCGCTATCTCGCTTTCTTTTAACAATGTACTTTTGCTTGGACGTTTGGAGCTTAGGCATCATCTTCCATTTGTGTTCCAGATCCTTTGTTGTATCTACCGCAGGTTCATAGTCACGTGTCCGCCCTGGTCATCGATGAACGACCAGGTAGGTTCCAGACCCCCACCCCCGTGCTTTTGCTTTGTTGACCAAAGTACCCATCCTGTTTTATCTATCTGTTCAATTGATTTGTGAATGTTTGTCCGTGTGAACTGAGTACTCCTCATAGATGGGATCAGTCCATGCTTCTCGAACTTCACATGCAGTTTTTTTCTATCCACTTGTTTGGCCACTGTTTTGGGGGAGAGAAAACGGATTCGGTTGGTATGACTTTCGTGTCTCTGGCCACACGTCAAGAGAACCGCATATCAGTCTCTTGAACATTATTCATGGAGTGGGTTGGATCTTTATGGACCCATATAGTGCTCTGATTCTAAGCAGCACACTATATTCGTTGTTACAATTTCCTTACCCAGCCTGCTGCAATAGTTAAATGGTGTTTTCAACACGATAGTGACTGTTGGGGACTCACATAGAGCAATCGTATCAGCATAGGTCTCTGCCGTGTCACCGTGAAAGAAAATTGGCAGAAATCTGAGGAACTGAAAAATAAACTCAACTCAGTCGTTAAATCCGCTTGTTAGAAGCTTAATAACCCCGTCACAGCAGTGTTGCCCTTCATTCTATACCTAGCGTATGATACCACCGAATAGAATCCCTACATGCAAGGCCAAATGCTCCATTCACCTTGGTAATGTTTGTGGGCCAGATTACTGTGCATATCTGTGCTTGTTCATAGCCGTGACTAAAGTAAGGCAACATCTCCAAAACTATCGATATGCCCCTTTCCAACCTTATTTTATCTTAGAATGTCACGTCTAGCAAGTGGGCTTACTTTTCCTTCAATGGGCAACGCTCATCTACGTTTCCAGGATAGTTGTTTGCATGCAAGAGCCTAGATAGATGGGTTAAACTAGGTGACAGCAAATGTAAACTTTCGACGGGAAAGCGTGTAAAGGTCAATGTGACAGGCTCACCCTCTTCTCTCTATTAACCTGCAGATCTGGTCCAGAGCTGTCACCTCTACACGGCAGTATTTCAGTTATCCCGCGGACTGCGCTTACCAGAACTTGTTATGCCAAGTTCAGCCATTCTATGAGGGCTAAGGAGAGAAACCAGATGAAAAACAGCGAACGCCACTAACCATATTTCGAGGCCGCCTTACCTTAGTACGGTAAAAGTAAGGTATTTTCACCGGGCCACTAGCATGTCCGGTTGTGGACAGGTTAAAAAGGTCAACCCTAGATATCACACCCTCCGATCACCCAAAGGTCAACCGTACCGCCAGTGGGTCGTCCTATACGGTCCAAACAACCTTAAAAACAGTGAATTGCTCACTGTGGCCCCAACAACCTCAGCTATACACATTGGCGTCAGAAATGAGGCATCGATGCCTGGCTGGCTGCATTCCAGGGGTCCAGGCCGACAACCAAGTGGACCAGAGTGTCGATTCACTGACTCCGGGTAAGGGCCACAAAGACAACTCTACCATCATCCGCCCTGTGGTGCAGACTTTTGTGTGATGTGTGAATATCCCAAGTAAAGCTCTTCCGGGAGGTTCAATATGTCTTGTCCATCATTTCTTATCCACAATACCCCCTCATCCTTGAATTCCATGGCGATTGTAGATAATTACAGGTTATGCAGCGCGTAGTTGGTGAGGTTAATAACCGACGTCAGATGCCGACCCATCCCAGCTTCCTACTTTCAAATTCAAGAATACATTTGCCTTTGGGACTGAAAGCATCGGTTTCTTGTTCAATCGAAGTACACTGTGCGTCCAATTGGACTGGGTATTCGTCAGAGTGAAATTTCTTCTCCAGATATGTAATTTCTGCGTCGACGGCATCTTCCCTATGCACATTCCTCTCGGTCAACCACATAGCATTCTAAAACCTTATGTATCTTATTCTTCAGTTGAAGAATATCGTAAACAAGAGATTAACCTGGGATTCAGCTGGGTCTCCCGTTACCATCACTTTAATTTGCAAATGAGTGTGTTTAGTCATTTAGGTGTGTCTTGTTTGATAGACCACTGCAGTAAAACTGGAAATATTGTCCAGTCTCTCTTGACGTCTGACTAGAAGAATGTCTGAAAATTCGGCACTGTTAGTGGTCTGTGCCCCAGGCGGATTCATACGGTCTGTAAAGGTCACACTGTCGTCTACACGACGTTCCTAAGGCGCCTTATTAAAGAGGTCAGTGGAGAGCTGTTGTTCAATCGTTCCTAGAAAGACATCCGGACCAACCGTATCCACTCCACCGATTGGTCTACGTGCCTCATCTTCGAATTCAAACACTGCATTTTCTATATACAAGAGTATCAGTTCTTTCAGGTATCCTAACCGGCCATATTAAACCAAGGGGAACAGTGATAAAGGGCCACGATTATTTTACGTTCTGATGTAGAGGTGGGCCTTTATGAATAGGGAATAAACGAGTTAGTCTTATAACACCTAATAATCGTTCAGTGAGTTTGTAGTAGGTAGCCAGAATGGGTCTCAGAGCCACGCCACCTTGTTTTTTCTACTCCTCGAAGGCGTATGGTAAAAATTTCGATCAGTTTCAATGTGATGTAGTGTTGAATGGAAATACTCTTATGTGCCATTGAGCTGAAATCTTCATGGCAGAAGGTGTCCTTCGCACAATCAAAACCACAGTCGGTTTGTGTCCAGACGTCGAGCGATCGATATTCCGACACCTTATTGAAGTGGAAAATCGGTGGCCCAGAGACGACTTTTTTTCAGGCATACAGACAAGGAAACCTCAGTTATAGAGTTTAGATCTGTGCCAATACTGGCATCGGTCCCTGCAGAATCTCATGGATTTTGTGATACTTGAATGAAGAGGATGCCATACACGTAATTATCAAACTTGTATGCCGTACACGATTTGCGGAAATGCAGCAAAGTACCAAAATTACTCGCAAGAGCAGTATGTTGGCCAAACTGGGTGAGTCTCTACCGATAAAGGCCGCAATGAAACTGGGGATAGGCGGTTTGATAAATGGATGTCAAACGGTAAATATGAGCGTTGGCAAAATACTGGATGCTCTCATGGTTGGTGATTTCAGGTGCCTACAACTTGAATCCACAGCAAAGTGAGACAGGGAGAAGATTAGGAGACGATAGTGTGGATAATAAAGACAGATGAGGGCCTAGCAGTCTCATGTTTCCGCCTATCCACCCTGCAGTATACAGCAGCTAAGCTACTCCTGATGTGTCTTATGGCTACGTATGGGCTGAGGTACTCTTAGAGTGCCGAAGCATAGCCGGACGAACTTGTAGTTCCGAAAAGAAATCTGTAACTCAAAAACCCAACTGCAAGGAAGCGTGTGTAGGACCACTACGGCAATTCGTCTTAAGGAAAAGGCGGCCGTATGCCTCCTATCCTGAATTTGGGAGACCATACCTGCCAGACAACCAATCATTGGCCATTCTGGTGGGGACATTGCATCGGCTGTACAGCTCATTGACTGTCGTACCGCGCTACGACCCAATCCCTTCGAGGCAGCGTGGCATCCTTGTTGCTCTCTACGGTGTGGATAAAAACAGTAAGCGTGAGACTAGTCACCTTTTGCGCTAGGATGCTTTGACTGTCCGTTCACTTTGCGACACCTACCACATTGTAATTAAACACCGATGCTTGTTTTTCTTCTGTGCACTGCTTTTCAATCTATCAGTCGCCAGAGGACACGGTAGCGCCTGATAAAACAATGATGTTTCCTGTAAACGCTTATCTCTTATGGAAGCACTACAAGCACATCCGTGAAGATGTTCATTGGTCTGCGGCCGCCTGAGTTTAGCGCATTAGGTGGCGCTGTCCTCTCAACTGGATACTCACTGAATCTCTCGTATAATTTACTCTCCAAGAGAGTAAGCCAGTCATAGTCCAACTCTTGTCTCAAATGGCAGGATATTAGAGATATCGAAGTAAGTTTTTTGACATGATACTACTTGTGCATCATATATACATCCTCGGATGAACTAATTCCAAAATTTTCTATACTACAAAATCCTGAAAGGAGCTACTGAGTGTGCACCTGATATGAATCTCTTGAGGTTGCTGCAATATCTGGTACTAGAACCAGAGTTAACAAGTTCAGATAAAAGTGGAGATAGGCCGGTGAAACGTCGATGGGAGACCTTTACCAGGTAGAACGCTCTCCATACCAGTGGATCTGCGGGAATTCAAAAGTGGAGATAGGCCGGTGAAACGTCGAGCGGAGACCTATGCCAGGTGGAACGCTGTCCACACCAGTGACTTCCATGTGGAGTTCCCCTTTATGATATCCCTGAAATGAATATGATACATAAGTAGTATCATGTGTGTGTATATATATATATATTGTAGATCTGCAGGAATTTGGCAATAGCTTGACTGACTTCACAGTCAGTAGCTTGGGCGAAATGTGTTTTGGTGATGGCATTCTACCTGAGAGAGTTCTTCGCTCGAGGTTTCGCCTCCCTGTTTCCAATTTAACGTGAACCTGCTAACTCTGCTTCTGGTACCAGATACTGCAGCGACGTCACGTGGGGCGGACCCCACGCAGCACAACGTGCTCCGATGTGTGCACAAACTTTCTGCTAACGGTAGCGAAAACTGAAACGACGAGGTTGTTGGTATCTGAATCGTTGCACGCTGTGGCATGTTATCCACTGAACTGTATCTGAATTGTTGCACGCTGTGGCATGTTATCCACTGAACTGCGTGTTCTCAGTAGGCGTAGTTTGGTAGCCTACACACATAAAAAGGTGTGAATGAAGGAAAAGGACAACTGCTGAGTGTTACGCAGAGTGTTTTCCACGAAATCATCGGCTGACAAAAACGTCAGTCACCACTTCAATGAGCTAGATATATAACGATGCTAATCGGCTTGTAAATCGGAGGGCTATTTGTCCTATAAAATCGCCCATTGCGTTTTCAGCTGAAACTCGTAGTGAACGGATCACTCACGTGATGCTGCTTACCTCAGATTGTTGCTACCACACCTCTGATCAGACGCGAGGATCGAGCTGAATGAAGTCACAGTGCCCGGGAATCGCATGTATCATAAAAACCATGGTAAAACGGGAAGTCATACCAATGACCTAGCGGACTCAGTTCTGGCGTCGTCGATCGAATCGCAGTGTTAGTGTAGGGAATGTGGT